TTTATTACCGAACTAGCGCACGAGAGTGCCCTTTCCTTGGAATGGACCGGTCAGAAGAACGTCCGCGGGAAATTTCGCAAAAACAGGAGAAAAAGGATACATCGATCGCCGAACTGATCGATTCACCGTCGAATAACGTTCATCCTACGAAGGATATTCCCAAAGGATGAAAGACCGAGAACTGCTGATCTAGAGAGAATGACTAAAGGCCCCAAGGACCAGGAAAAGACGGCTAGTAGAAGAAGAATTCCACTCGTAAAACAGGAGAGGATAAGGAGCAAGGCGGACGAAAGAAATCTTCACATATTATATGTGGAAATATATTTCTGTTCTTACGTAAGGTCCAAGAGTACTTGGTCTGATCTACTGAGTTGATCCATGAGATCATACGATTTTAATTTCGTACTGAATATGCTTCGTAACGATTGACCGCCAATCATCTATCATATGCAAAAATATAGTTAATCTACTTTTTCTATAAAACTTTGCGAAATTCAAAATGGGTCAAAATGACGGCGTTCTGTAAACCTAGTGTTAACAAAGATTCGAGCACTTCAAAGCCAAAACCAATGTCACGTTCAGCCTAAAAAATTCAGGGGTACAATTGCATCCTCTTAACACCAAACTAGTCTGCGATTTTTCCACATCCGTGGAACGTTCGAACGAGAGATTTTTCAGGCGTGCTTGGAATCCCAATTCTATCGGGAAGTGTTCTTGCTCGTAGCCGAGGCCAACTTCGAAACCGACCAACATTTCGCTAATTAAACGAGGACGCGGGCATTAGAGAGACTCGAATTACACCGCTGTATCGTTATGTAAATTTTCTAAGCCAGCCTCCCTAGAAAGGCGGATCCCCCATTCCGGGTGGGTTTTATCCCATGCGTGGGAAGCTCGATTACTTCGTCTGGATAATAAGCAGCTCTCTAACCGATGTAGGAACGAACCTCGAAATCCCGATAGAGTTTGTCGGATAGTTTCGGTCGTGCTTGCGCCCACGCTTTAGGTAGAATTCGACGAGCACTTTTCGGACGGAGGCATCAAAAAGTGGTCGCTCGCAAAGAGAAACAGATGCAAATTCCCTCGTGGGATGCGAAATAAATATCACCAGCGACGAATATCCCATTCACAGGGAGATATTTAACTTGGTGCACTCTGATGGCACCTTTAAGGCATCTAGAATATACATCTTTGAAGGTACGCGAAGACTTTATCATTACTTGCTAAGAATAAATTTTATTATTATAAGAGGTAAACATTTTGGAAGGAGAATTTACGCCACGCACAAAGAGGCTTCGAGTTGTCAGTCCTTGATTAGCACCCTGGATCGATTTATCCATTGCCCCTCCGTTCGGACTTCCCTCGAGCAACGCTCATTTCCGGGACGAGTTTGAAATTGCATTCGAGAAATTATGAAGTTAAACGCGCCGGGATTACCCTTGCACGTGCAATTTGTTGTTCGTTCGCGTAATCCGGCGAACTATTCAAAATTCACCAACTCCTTGGCTACAACGATTACAAACAGTCGAGAGACAACCCCTCTGTTCCGGTCGATTGTTCAAATAATTCCTGTTCCTGGTAGTTGTTGCAATTAATTCCACCTAAACTGTCGTTCGACGAGCGCGTTCGCGTTACCAATGTCCTGATTCATCCTTTGATCGCTGGACTTGTATCTCTTGATCCCTTCCAATGTATTTCAACAACAGGATTGTTGTTCCGTGCGTAAAACAGAACTTTTCGGTTCGCGTCCCTTCATAAACACTTATTCGAAATTCTATCGAGACCGGCATCCCTCTTGCATTTTAATACCCATCAAATCACCCTTTTTCAAACGTTGCGTTATATTCTATTTCCTTCGACGCTGACTTCTCATTTCGCAAATAAATATATAGCAGACTAAAGCTCGCCGTGAATTCGCAAGACTGTAAAGTCTGAGTTAGGCGAGCATTTTTCTGGCTGCCCGTTATACCCTGCACTTTCGTAAAATGCATCGGATGTTTAATAATTGATTCGACTACACGGGAACATCGTTCGCTACGTTTCCATGGCAAATAAAGACACGAGGATCAATGGTTGGCACTCTTTTGTTGCGTTCTCCGCTCTCGAGCACAACTGGCCGCACTCAGGGCGCACACGTAACACCCGACGTAGTCGTATAGTGGAATCAACAGCTAAGCATTGAATGCATTCGGACGAGATAAATGCAGCGCGCGACACGCAGCGAGAAAAACGCTCGTCTAACTCAGACTTTGCAGGTCCCATGAATGTACGTGCAACGCGTGTTTATTTATTTATCGCTGAACCCGTTGTTCTTAACCTCTTCGAGTATGATTGCACAGTTTTTTTTTTTTTTTTAATTAGAGAACATGTTAGTCTGTACGATTATTCTGGCTTTTTCAAGATAGGAAAATGACGAGCTTCGCGGTGAGCTTCGATCGATTGTTTACCGGAATTAGACCACTTTTATATAAAAATACTTTGTCAAAGGAACAGAGCTGCTGAAGTGACGAAACTATCCGAAGATACTAACTAAATCTCGGAGCCATAAGTTTTATCGAAGATCTCGCTGAGTCCTCGGCAAACCTCAGTCGAAAGACTCGGTGAGCCACGGACGAATGGTTTGTTCCACGAGCTGTCGTTAGATATGACTATATCGCATGTTGCTACATCGCATACAATTCCCAGTGTATGGAGATGGTACCTTGCGGTTCGATAAAAGACGTCGAGGCAGAAACCACGTCCAAACGCAAATACAATCGGCGGAGAAGCAGAGTCGCCCGGAATAAGGTTGATAAGCTCGACGACGTCAGCAGACGGGAATATCGGTTTCCAGTTGCTTCTTCGCTCGACTACGGAGTGGCTCGTTTACAAGGGAGCGATAATACGCTGCTCTCGACAGTGCTGTCGAAACCTCTCGAGATTCCGAAAGCAACTTTCTCGGAGAACATCTCGCGGAAATCCGTGTCCTTGGCGTCCATCGCGAACAGAAGACTGCGTGGGCGAAAAACGACGGGAAAAAAGGAAAAGCGCAGCCGTAACGAGGAGCGATTAATGCCATCTCCGAGACTTTTCTCGAGGACTATCTTGTCCGAAAATTAGAAAGATATCCAGCACGATATGAAATGTTTTCGAAAGGAGACTTTAGGATTTTGGTTTTTAACAAATTCGCGACCGCTACGTAAATTCACTTCACTTTAAATTCTATTCCTGGTTATGAGAAAATTATGAAAATATCTGCCGTTTAATAAAACGCAAACGTGAACAATGATGTCCTATGATAACGTACCTATCGTGTTATTAATTGATTCTATCTTGTTATTATAACGAAAAACGTTGACAGGGTAGTATACGTTAGAATTGATTAAAATTAGATTACGGTTCGGATACTAGGTACACACGGTATAGGATGATCGAGCCCAGTAGATCATTAATTATTCTGACTATGTATACGCTTTACACGCGTGCGGTGCCCAGAAAACCGTGGCCTGATTGGCCTCGCACGCAAATTTAGCGTAACGGTAAACGTCGTTTTAGGCAAGCGGTTCGTTACATGTAATGCGATGGAACGGTGGAATTAAATGAAACCGATTCACGCATCGTTTTCCTTCGAATTTCACAAAACCTCTCGCGGTTTCAATTACCTCTTGATGTCACGCAACTAGTGAAACGCCTGCGACCAGGCTGAGAGACTGACGGGCAAAATCAAAGTCACATAATTAACGGGGTAACGAGGGACTCGTGAAAATCCTTTTGGAACACGCCTGAAACAAAGTTGCATCTCCGATATCATGTTCTCGAGATTCATCAGCACGCGAAAGTATAGCAAAACTACTGAAGGGTTGAGAGCGTTCGAGGCGTATCCAACAAGATCCGGAGAGAGCGAAACGGGTCTGAAAGGCGAACAAAATCCTCGCGTAATTGAATCTCGGGGATTTCTTTGGGTGGCAATTAAGTTGTTTACTAGCAGCTGAATTAAGAGGACAGTTTGGTCTAGACCTTTTAAGAAATTCTATTGGATAACCCCTTTACTTTCGTTTATCTTTTCACTGATGAAGATTCTTCATACCGCGAAGGATAATAAAGTATATTATGCCGCAATCGCTAACCCTATCCAACAGAAGCATTCGAGAAACTTTGACATCTCCGTTCGTAAAGCTTAAAATACCACGGATCATAAAATATTATTGTAAAGGAAAATGGCCTCGAACCGTGCACCGTGAAAACAAATGATACAAAACCGAAACAACGTCGGGGAAACGGTGTTCACTTATGCAATAAGCGAGCCTGGAATCAGAGGTTCGGTTGCCTCGCGAAATCTGGAACAGGAGTTTCCAACGAAAAAGTTTCTCTCCCTGCGCTCGATGCACTTCCGGGAGAAATGTTCAGAACGAAAGTGCTTGGCGCGAATGTAAGGGGAAATATTCGATACAGTGCGCGTTTAACCGTCCCTGCATTACACGTCACAATAACTTACAAATTCGTCTCACGGTTGCAACAAAAAGCGGTGATATATCGCGGAACAGCACGCGGTATTAATAACGCCAAGTTTCGAAACGTTACAGTTCGTATCAAGTCATCGCACAGTGTGACATTTCAGCGATCTATCGGGACGAAACTTATGTGGTCCAATATCTCGGAAACTATTAGACCGTCCGTACCCTAAACGGTTGCGTTAAAACTTTCGTTGGAAAGGTTATTTTCATTGAAAAATGACGCAAGGAAAATCGAAGGGTTTCCAAAGAATTCGCAAACGGATACGAGGAACGCAAGGGAATCCAGTCGTTCGCCAACGTAATAAGCGAATCTCGAATCAAGGATGTTCCCGAAATCTTCCCCGATGATGCAGACGGGATCTCTCCAGAGGGAAAGTTTTCCACGGCGCCTGGCGTTCTCCGAAAAAGTGAAGGAAAGACACGGAAGAGTGAAGGAGGAGCTGAATTGGAAAGGAAGGAAAAAGAGGGTTCTCGGTGAGGGGGTCAGAGAAGATAGAGAGAGGAACTCACCCTTGCTAGTGCCACGGCTGGAAAGCTGTCCCAGGCGAGTTGCGCTTCCTCGCCTGTATTTCCATGACGTTGACCCGAGAGAATCCTCGCTGCCGTGAGAGTGCTCATCCCCATCCCGTCGCCGACGAAGAGAACGACGCCCCGCGCCACGCCGCCCGGCGGCGTCGTTCCACTGACGCTCGAACTCGCCGCCGACGCGCGAATACGAGCTTCGATCGCGCGTATCGCCGCCTCATACCAGACCTCCCTCTCTGTGAACAGAAATTTTTCTCAAGTGAGTGGCCCGTGTCGAGTTCCCGACACCTATCTTAATTGAATCTATAGTCTCGAACCGTTGCCGGGAAAATCGGCCATTATTGTCCCCGGCATTTGCCGTAAGTATTGTTCGGTTATCGGTCTTTGTTGTCGCGTGTACGGAGAGATGTTTGAACGGAACGGGGAAAGACGGTCCCTTTGCGAAACGGGATATAAAGTTACCCCTTGATGGCTTCGCGTCGATTGTTACGCCAGGGTTGCACACCGTCATCCCTTATAAGGACCAATGCCGAGGTGTAGATCGCCAATTTTTCCCGTCCCGTACACACTTTTGCTTTACTCGATTATTTTTCACGCCTTAACCCTTTGCACTTGGAGCCGTTTTATAGCAAAGCTTGGAAATACGTTGTTTTAAATAGCGTAACATTGGAATTTACTGAATATCACGAGTGCAATTTCTGACCGGATTGAGAACAAAATTATTCAACGTGAAATTGTTTTGCATCTGCATGCTAAGAGCATACATTGTCGTTCGTTCCAATAAAGAAGCGTGTGATCAATGTGCGTTAAATTTGCCTTTGTACTGGATGCTTTTGAGCGCGAGATATCGGCTTCGTAGCTTACATTAGAAGGGATGCAGATTAGATTACCAATACGTTTAAACTGTAATACGTGCGTTGCATCCATAAAACCGTAGTCTGATAGAGCCTAAGCGCGAAGTAAGCGTGATAATAAAGGTATTAATGACGAGTCGACTTAATCGCTAAAAATCGTTATAGGTGTATTCATTCAATTCTTAATGCATTCGATAGGTACACTCGATAATGCAAAGCGAAATCTACCACGGTGTTATTAGGGTCCGTGGGGAATTTGCAAATGTTCGAAGTGCCAGCGGCGATGATGCTAATCTCTAAGTACCGCGCTTCTTCGCGAGGATGCTCGGTTACGTCGAAATTGTCATGTTGCAGCTTCAGATCGCGTTTACCCTGTCTGCGGCAAGAACGTTTCTCGTTTGAATGCTGCCGAAGGGACCGGATATCTTAATTGAATCTGTTAGTAAAACGGGGCCGGTTCCAACTGTTTCCGAGAAAAGTAGTTTGCTGCTGCTAACTTCGAAAAAAGAAGACTTCCCTGTGAATCGAAAGGCGTACGGGGACCTCTAATGGTCGTATCAACAGCGGGGCTTAACGCAGGAAAATTACGCGAACTGAGTCACTCGAATAGAAAGAGAGCGGTTATCGTCTTTGGAAATCAAGGGAGAATTCATTCGACCCCTACGGAGACGTTCTTCTCGCCACCTCGATCTCTGCTCGAATCGAGAGCAATCTTCCTCTTTTATGACCGAAACCGAGAGGTATCAATGCGAAGATCCAGAGTAGAAGAACATTGTTCGATTTATACTGAACTGATTTCTACATTCGTTGATAATAGTCAGCGTTATCGTTAACGTTTTCATTTTCAACTACTGTTATACTATATTATAAACACGAAGCAATTTAATCTACTCAAAGTCCACCGTTTCCTATTTCCAAACTTTCTAATGCTAGGTCTCAGATATTCTGAAACTAAACCCTTTGATAAGATTTACCCAGCAAACTCTGTATTAGGCGTAATATGATGCTAGGGAGGGTTTTCTTCGTATAAGAGAGTACGAAATCAGTTTCCCCAGCATGAAATAGCGTTTCAAGAAAGGTTGGCTGAATAATGAAGATCAAAGAGCGCGAAAATCTTGAGGAAAAGGAAACATCAATTCTCGAGTTAATTCCGGGTAAATACTGCCTTTCATTCTTCGTTCTCAGTTTTTCTCTCGACAACTTTGGTAATTAATATCCAAAACGCCTAACACAACGCGAGTCATACCAACGGTATGAGCTATCGGCCATTACCGAAAGGGATTATCACTTCAGGCACTCTCCGGTATCAAACCCCGAGGTACCAACTGAAAGGACAATTCGTACGACATAACGTCCCATGTTTGCAGAAGTTTGAGCTACAAATGCGTAGCAGAGTTGACAGACGAAGTTCGCCGGATTTGTGTTCATACCGATTTCGTTCGACGCTGTGTGGATGTGGAAACATCGCCAGAAGCGCGTTAGGTTGAACGACTGTTCCCTACAAACTGTGCACAGCCTGAGATCCCAACGTTACGGTTCACCTAGGAACACATTGCCGACTAGCAGCCGCTAATGGGTAAGTTTAAACTGCTCCGTAGGTAGCAAACTACCATATCGTGTCGCGATATTGGTCGAACCCGCATTTCCATGGAAGCAAGATCCGATACGCGTCGCATCGGAGAGGTTTAACCTCTATCTCTCTTCGGAAACATGTATCTGTCGCGAAACTACCTCGTGGAAAGAAACGACTTCATTCGACCGCGTTGCAATGGAATCTTCATTTAATCTGTCTATCTGTCTATCCCGAGACCCGTGACTTTTCTTCTCGCAATCACGTACCTTGGCATTGATATTATCAAGACTTTTCTAAGGACAGCTTTAGGATTTTGTTTTCTGACACTTTGCGTTTTCTACCTGATGGTAACCGAATATTTATCGCGAATACTAGCAGCAGAAATCATATTTAAAACCAACAGTCAAGTATTAAACGTAATGCAACGTCAGTGTCTCAAATGTGTCAATCGGGCATTCGAGGTCGTGAATTTTTCATGGACACGTTAAATGTGATTTAAAATTAAAAATCAATCTCGGATTAAAACCGACCGAACTTTGCGCGACGACGTTTATTTCTATTTAATTTCTGCTCCCCGGAGGCGTTTGTTACGAACAGAATCTCGCGAGGTACGAATTTCGCAAATCTGCGAAACCCGCGTTGCAATCGAAACTGTAACGGCGGTGTCTGTCCGCGTACCGGGTCGGCTACGCCGCGATTAATTCGGCGAAAAAACAAGGCGACGAAATTTATGTTTCGTAAATTCCGCGTGTTTTTACATTAACGGGTACCAGGCGCAGTATTTTGTCGGATAAGCGATTTCGGTTCGCGCTACGCGTTACGCGTTTTTCGCATTCATTTACCGACTCGCGGCTGTCACGGAACGCGAGTTATTACGATTTTCCGTCGTTTCGTTGCCGTACAAATTGAATATTTTGTTCAATTCACAGTCGAGTAAACAAGTATCCGAACGGTCAGTTACGCTGAGCAAACACTCGTGAAACGCTCAAATATAAACCTGCGTTCGAAAATCACGACACCGCGCTGTGACGCCAACTGGTATTTTTCGTGGAATTATGATTTCAATATCGGGAGAGTGCTTATGAATAAATATTAGGTTCATTTGTAAGTAACTTCTCCCGACAGGCAGGAAATAATCGTGTCTTTCCCGAAAATTTTCTTGAAAAACTGCGTTAGACTCGTGTCTAAACAGGTGCTCTACGAATGGTCCACGTGTAACACTTGGCACCCTACAGCTGTTGACCGCTAATCCAGCGCTATGCGCGAATTACTCCTAATTAAATTTCAATTAACCGAAAGTAACTAACACGCGAACGAATGTAACAGGCGCCCACGAACATATGTCGTTGTGTTTTCGAAAATCATTGACGCGTACCGATATTTATGAATATTCAACCAGGGAAGCAGCCAATCGCCGCATAGCTGGTAGGAACGGGCTCAAACGAACGCGCGGATTTCAATCTACGCGCACGCAAATATTTATCGAGATCTCGCAGTAAAATAAATTTCGGCTTGGTCCGTACGTTTCAACGGCTTCCCGGCTGCCATCAATTTCCCGCCTCTCGCCGCGAAAAGCATCAAATTTCCACGGTGCTCTGGTCAACGAAGAATCGCTGGACGTGAGGATCGAGTGGTAAATAATTTAGTACAGAGAGAATTTCGAGCAAATGTGACGTGAAATGGGACTGCCGAAGTGATAGTGGATCGCCTATGGTCAAGACAAACTTTTCATCGAACGTGACAGGCGCTACATCATCCTGTAATTTTTTACAAGATCGCAAGTTTGAAGTTATTCTGATTAACAAAAACTTGAATAATGGATACACTTTTATTAACGAAAATTTATAAAAACATTAAATAAACTGATAAAGTCGGCAATATTTGTTAAATGAAAGATTTAATTGGATCTGGGAAGTCTACTCGTGGTACAATATTAAATAAAGATAAGATTGAAAATACAATCGCGTTTATCCTCGTAAAAATAATAAAAATTTTCCTTGCAATTAATTCACCGCTTCCCTTCGTATTGTCAAAAGTTAAAAAGGAACGTTATTAATACTGAATTCTAACTACAGCTTGCTAATAATGAAATGGATTAAATAGTCTGCATGCGCACCGAATAACACCAAAGTTTCTCGACGAAAGGCAGCGCTCGAAAGCGGTGGAAGTATAGGTATTCACATAAAGGGAGTATTTTAGTCGTGAAGAAGATACGGACAGTAACTGCATAAGTATAATAGCGGAAACCGTGGGATATTAGTAATGCGACTTAATACTGATAAGAGCCGTTGAAAAATGAGAGAAGGATGAAAGAAAGGGGACCGTCGAAAGACTCCTCTGGGAACTCTAGATAACTTTGGGAAAGTACAATACTTGTCCCAAGAGAACTTCTAAGAGAGTAGATAAATGGTTTTAATAGAATGATCCCCAGAGTTAACCGGGTCTTTTGAAATGCAGGCCTGACATAAGGATAAACCAGCCGGTAACGGCAAACGAGAAGCGAAAAATGAATTTTTTAAAACGTCTTTCGCTACCGATGAGAAACATTCATCGACGTATAAATGCAACCCTCTTTTCGGTAGCCAAAAAGAACCTTCTTCATTCATATACCAACCCTGAATAACAACCTTCAGCCTTCCTCGATAGGTATGTAGCTTCTAAGAAGATAGTTATTCGAAGTATAAAATGCGTGATGGCCACGAAAGGGTAAAAAATCTGGGGAAACACGTAAAAGTACTCGTCGTCGACGATTCGTCAAAAGTTTAAATTACATCGATGCAGTTCTATTCGGTGGAAAAAATGTCTTATT